GTAATATAACTACAAGCTTGTTTGTAACACAGAGAGCTCATCTGTAGAGACATTGGAGAAAGGAAACAAATTGTCTAAGGCCATTGCTCTTTCATTTGATTTATTTTTGGAAAGTTATTTGAGATTTACATTTACACATTTAGAGATAGTCTGTCAAACAGATGTCCAACTGACTTAGATTTAAGAAGCACACTTATTGTCAGGGTTACTGTCATTGTCAATCAAATTTAATATAGCAAAAGCTTAAAGATTTTGTCAAGTAAACTGTTGTCTGATTTTGACTAAATGTTGTTGTACAATCTGGTATTTAAAACCCCAACAGTAAACAGTAGTCTGTCATATGACTGAATGCTGTGAAAAGCTTGGGTTTTATAATCTTCCTCTTATTTAAAGACATTTTCTACACTGTAGACATAGAGGCAGAATGAAATTGTTTCAAAGAAATTAATTTTAATTTTACATGATTTTAGAATATGATAATAAAAAACATTAGAACTAAAAAGAAATTGAGGGTCTTAAATCTTGTTTTGAGTTATCTGTGGATGAATTTATACTTATGTCTCAACCATAAAATGAGGTCTCATAAAGTGTAACTTTTTACATGCATATGTGTATGTGTGTTTCAAAGGCAACTTGTGTCAGATACTTAACTTACATGCATACATGATAAATTAGAACACACAACCACCATAGATAGAGGATGTGTTGCATGCAAGACCCAGGCTCTTGGCTCAAAGGTCAAGGTCACAGCAGGGGATTGAACTTTCAGTGTATTTGTCATATAGGCTCAAGTGCATTTGAAGTTAGACTAAGATCCATAATTGGGATTTCCAAATACATCAGTACATATGACCATCATAAATAGACAACTATCAAAAAATAAAAAAAAATTGTGAGACATAATAACATACCCGGATCATCCTAAAGTTATTTTGTCCAAAGTAATGCCACTTTTTAACACTTTATTTTTTGCTCAGATAAGCCTTTTTTTCTAAAGAGCATTCTCAATAAAGTATCAAAGGTATTTAATTCAAACTAAAAGAGGACTTGTTCAAAATTGAGATGCAGTTTAAAAATTTTCAGATTCCTTAGAAAACTTCTTTGTTTACGTTGGTACATTTCTCTCCAAGTTTCTAGGAAGCATCTGGTTGTCAATTCTTCTTAGACATTAAGTCTAAAGGTCATTTGCCTCTTACAGCTGTTTCAGAAATCATGATAGATTAGTTAACCTTAAAAATGAGATAGACACCCCACTCCCTCTTTTATCATATTTGTAGAAAATAACTTTTTTTGAAATAGTATTTAAAATTTGATGTTATGAAAACTGTAGCAAATGTCCATAACTGAAGTGCTGTTACAATTTGGGTTTTAAAAGCTATGACAGAATCATTCATATCTTTTACTGTATTGTCAACAAACTGTCTCATTTTCTATTTGTCACAACATGCAGCACCATTACAAATACAGAGAGAATTTTAATACAACTTAAATTTTCTAATTATTAAATCCTATTTTTCAATTTTTTAAGCGGTGTAAAAAATTAATTGTGATGTTAATAATGTGTAGAAATCATGAGATAGTGTCAGAGATGCCGGATAAATTATCCTCAATCATGTCGTAATCTTCTCAGTGGGAAATCATTCTCTCTGTATGAAATATCTCCATTAATTGATATATTTGCTGCAACTATTATATGGACTTGCATTGCAATGAATTTGGAACTTTCTGTTATGAAAATTAGGGATTTCAATATCAGAATGATTACCAATTTTTGTGTGCCGGTTTCTACAGTTGAATCTGACCCAGATGGACAGGCAGCATCCAGGTAGCTATCAGTTTTGTCTTGAGCATATTTTCTTATACGCATTGAGGATATTTAGTTTTCCATGACACAAATGTTCACCACCATGAGAAGGTTTGTCAAATGCATGAGCCAGGTTTCTTTGTCAAATGTCAAAGTCACACTAAGAGGTCAAAGGAATTGCATGTCCTGAGCAAAACTTCATACTTTAAAGTTTTTAATATAACATGAAGCAAATGTTTTCTTTTGGCACAATGTTAGGCAGTGAGTCACACACTTAATTTAGATCCCTGCTACCAAGGTCAACCCAGACTGAAAGGTCAAAGGTCAGATACAAATATAAAAATGTGTGTATGTACAATTTAGTAGTATTTAATGGGGGATTGATTATATCACAACTATTTACAATCATAATTGTCAGCATAATGTAAGTCAATGTATGGAAGGTCTAGGTCACCAGAGTTGATAACATGTAAAGATTTTGTCAGAGCATTATACTTTCTACATTTACAATTTTTACACAAATGTCCACCATTATGAGAGGTAGTGTACCATACATGAAGTAGGTCTCTAGGTCAAAAGTCAAGGTCACACCTAGAGGTCAGTGGAAATTATTTGACCATAGTGAAACTTCTACATACAAAGGACTGATATATATAACTTTGCACAAATGTTAAATATTCGGGGGCATAATTTAAGGTGCATGCAAAAAATTCAAGTCCCTTTGGTCAGGATCAAAAATATATAAAGAGGTTCAAGGTCAGATAACAAAATAAAAATGTGACTTAGCCAAGGATTTTAAATCAAGAAACCTTAAGATCAGTAGATTTACCAATCTTTCTGTACTTTTTTCACTGTCCTTGATTTTGGACTGTACTTCCTGTAGTTGATTTGATGTGGGTTGTTTTTTACTTTAATCCTGACTTGTTCCTCTTTACATAAATATAGACTAATTTTTCTTTATAATAATCATGTCTCCCAAAATTTTTTTCAACCTGCTGACAGGACTTCACAATTGTTCAAAGGTTTTTTCAAGACCAAAAGTTGATGTGCTTTCCGTTTGGCTGCACAAAATGGCTGCCAGGTCTTAAAATTGAAAAATCTTGTCCGACTTTCAAAGGTCAAACTGCTGGCAGGAATTTGATGAAACTTCAGAGGAGTGATCATTACCAACCTTATTTGTGCCAGTCACTGGCATGTTCTTTTCCACTGCACAAAATGGCTGCCCAAGAGTTAAAAGTAAAATTTTGTCCTATTTACATCCAGCTGTTCCATTGTTGGGGTACATATGGGGTAGACATGTTTTTGTGAAAAAAAAATCTTTCTAGTTCATACTGGTTTCTCTCGAGTCAAATTTCGACTGTTCTCTATAGCTCCTAGTAGCTAGACATAGCAACAGAATAAAACCATAATTAGCAAATTATAAACTATAATAAATTCCATCATAAAATATTCATCACACTTTATATAATTATTAACGTTCCCATAATTTTTGTGATATTTTGTTTCTAGTATGTTATAATGTTTGTAATTGTTGTACAATTTTTCCTCTTCCTGTGAATGTAGCTGTGTGGTATCAATGAACAACAAAACAAGTTCTTTAAGGAGGATTTGAATAATGTAATTCTTTACACTCTGACATCGTTCATTAGCTGAATTATACAAATTTGTGAAAAATTAAAAAAAGATCGGAAGTTCAAGTTTATTTTTATTTTTTTTAAGAACTTTTTCTAAGAAAATCGCTATTAGACGTTTTGTCAAAAAAAAGTTTGGATTATAATATTTAATTCATCATGAAATTTAATCATGGAGGAATTTGAACAGCAAGATATTATTAATGCTGCAGAAATAAAAAATTATTTTAATTGTGCAGAGGAGGAAAAACAAAAACATAAAAACTGCTAGTAATTTTTTTTCATTAGTGTGAATTGTGCCGAGTGTTTAAGGAGATGTTTATGATGATATGAAAAATTAAAATTTATCACGAAGAATTTTGGAGGAGGATTTTCCTGTAAGGTTTGTGTTGTAGGGATTCATACAGAATGTCAAAAGGCTTCATAGAGGCCTTTCATATACTGAATGTTTTTGCCTGAGGAGGAAATAATCTGGTCATACACCTTATCAACATCATTAGACATTTTTAAAGTTTGCGGGAAAGTCAATGTAAGTTTGAAATAAACTTAATTTTTTACCTTGTCTGTTTCGAAAAGTCTAAAGGTGTCAACATGAAATTTGGTATACTTAATTATCATGAAAAGAAAAAGTTGATAAACAAGGGCATTATTCTTTAAGGTATGTTTTTGGAATTATGCCCCCTTTTTAATTAAATTTTTTTTGGGGGGGGAGGGGGCAAAAATTGCCTATTTAAACTTGAATGATTTCAAAATTATCAAAGGTATTTAAACCTGACTTAAACTTGGAATACTTGTATACCATTTCATGGCACAGTTGTATACTTGGTAATGTGGACTAGTCACATCTGTAGGACAAGGGACATATCTATGTTATCAGCAATCCTAATGTTACATCAAATTTTCAGATGGAAAATAATGACACTGTTGTATAAATAGCAATGTCTTGAATATTCAGTCAGGAAAATAGTTATCTTACTGAGAAGTAAATGACATTACAGTCATCACTCCATAACAACCTGTTATTAAAGTTGTTGCCTGTTACCGACAAGCATTGGTACCTCATGCCGTGCTCTTGTTTTAACACTATCTACAAAATAATTTTGAGTTTGTCTCAGCAAATTTCCTGTTTTGATGCTAAGGAAGTCATGCATTGTTTAATAACAACTAAAGCTCAAATTAAAATGCTATTAATATATAGTCTGATCAGCAGGAATGGCTTTGATGTCAGTCAGTTTTAAAAGTTTGAAGAAATTTTTTGTTTTGTATGAGTTCACATTTATTTATTATTCCACATAAGAGAGAATAATTTCATGTCTGCTTGCAAGCATTTAGTTTTTGTGAATAAAATATAAACAAATTCACATAGAAGAATACAGGACATTTCTGTTATGGTTTTGTTGGGTTTTATATTGCACCAACACGGTATAGGTCATATGGCTACTTTCCAGCTTTGCTGATGGAGAAACACTTAAGATGCCTTTCCATGCATTATTTAAGGCACAAATGGGTACCTGAGTAGTACTGTATGCTTTATAAAAAGCTTTTAACAGTTTAATTAGTTTTAATTAACCAGGTTTTCAACGAAAACCGGGTTATTGTAATGCCGAAGTCGGCGGGCGGGCGGGCGTCAACTTTTGGTTTCCGCTCAATAACTTTAGTTTGCTTTGGCCTATTGACACCAAACTTGGTGTATGGATAGCTTATATCAAGAGGCAGCTTGGGATTGCTACCCAGGTGTCTGTGATCAAGGTCAAGGTCACTGTTACTAAAAATAGAAATTCAGTTTCCGCTCAATAACTTGAGTTTGCTTTGACCTATTGACACCAAACTTGGTGTATGGATAGCTTATATCAAGAGGCAGCTTGGGATTGCTACCCAGGTGTCTGTGATCAAGGTCAAGGTCACTGTTACTAAAAATAGAAATTCAGTTTCTGCTCAATAACTTGAGTTTGCTTTGGCCTATTGACACCAAACTTGGTGTATGGATAGCTTATATCAAGAGGCAGCTTGGGATTGCTACCAAGGTGTCTGTGATCAAGGTCAAGGTCACTGTTACTAAAAATAGAAATTCAGTTTCCGCTCAATAACTTGAGTTTGCTTTGGCCTATTGACACCAAACTTGGTGTATGGATAGCTTATATCAAGAGGCAGCTTGGGATTGCTACCCAGGTGTCTGTGATCAAGGTCAAGGTCACTGTTACTAAAAATAGAAATTCAGTTTCCGCTCAATAACTTGAGTTTGCTTTGGCCTATTGACACCAAACTTGGTGTATGGATAGCTTATATCAAGAGGCAGCATGGGATTGCTACCCAGGTGTCTGTGATCAAGGTCAAGGTCACTGTTACTAAAAATAGAAATTCAGTTTCCGCTCTATAACTTGAGTTTGCTTTGGCCTATTGACACCTAACTTGGTGTATGGATAGCTTATATCAAGAGGCAGCTTGGGATTGCTATCCAGGTGTCTGTGATTAAGGTCAAGGTCACTGTTATAAAAAATAGAAATTCAGTTTCCGCTAAATAACTTGAGTTTGCTTTGGCCTTTTGACACCAAACTTGATGAATGGGTAGCTTATATAAAGAGGCAGCTTGGGATTGCTACCCAGGTGTCTTTGATCAAGGTTAATGTATTTAGTTTTCATGTTATAACTTGAGTTTGCTTTGACCTTTTGACAATAAACTTGCTGAGTGGCAGCTTTGGATTGCTACTTTGATATCTGGGAGCAAGTTCAAGGTCATTTGCTTACAATAGAATTTTCAGCTTCTACTCATTAACTTCAGTGTACTTTGACCTATTGATTGCTGTCACATCAAAATTTGGTCGTTGAAAACCTGGTTTTCGTCGCATTGCGGCGCTTCTTGTTTAAGTTTAACTCTTAGCCTACCATTGGCAACTGATTTGACATACATTGTATACAAACTGTGCAGACCAAGATCAGCAAGGCAATATTGTGCCATCTGATCATGGTCTGCACTGGTCACTGTTTAGTCAGTACATATTTTAAAATTTTCATAAGAAAAGGATGGACAAGTTCATTGAGGGTATTTAGTGTGGTAAGGGTTCAACATATTAATTTAAGCTCTGTAATGAAACAAGTTTCTTGCTACTTCTTTAAGTAACTATTGAGTCTGTCTTCTTGAACTTACTAGTAGTGGTATCATGTAAGGAAAGACATCTATCAATTGCACGATAAAAATTAAAAGATTAACTTCCATCAAATAGTAAAAAGGAGTTAACCCTTTGGTAATTTTGCACTTAGGTAACAATATATTGATTGGTATATTTAATATCTTACTGATCTGTACCCTTGATATGTTTTATATTTCACTGATCTCATTCATTGTACTTTTGGAAACAGTCTGTAATTTGAACCACATATAAAGGGTATAACAATGACAGCGAGTTTCAGTTTTGCAATAAAGAGAATGTTTGATTGAAGTAAAAAATTGGCTTATCTAACAGAGAGCTACATGATTGGCAGTTGTGATTGTTCCTAAAGACATGTTGATCGTGTCTGGAATATTAAATAGTCAATTGATATATTATTCTCTGCATCACAGTGTACTTTTTGAATGTTTAATTGTTAGATTGTAATTTTATAAGGAAAAGGTTTTGAAATTTTGTTTTACAATATCCAGTATAACACTTGATCTTTTGTGGCGTCTCTTCGATCTTAATTGTTTTTTATGTTTACACCAAATTCACTAAATTAAACTAAATTGAATGTTAACTAAGTAGTTATATGACACAAGATTGATATGATTTCTAGTAACATAAAATACGGTATGTCATAATTTCCTGTCAAAATTGTATGCCCTATGAAAAATTTAATTTTCAATTTTGTACAATGTTTTATAATTATATATGCTTGATTACATGATAAATAGAGGATATAAAATGAATGTAAATTCCATTTAATTAATTAAATTCTGATGGAACATGATATAAAGCTTGACACAGTTTAATGAACTGTTTGATACCTTACCACAATTTAATGAAATCATAAAAAGGTGAAATTTAAATGCCTAGCTAAAAACATAAAATTTGAAATTTTTGATTAGATCAAGTAATTATAAGCACATAAGATGGAAAAAAACTGCCAAAAATATTGAATATATAACGCAATTTGAATGAAAAGTGTTTTAACATTTGTTGTTTTTGATAAATTTTGTTAAAAAGAGAAACAACATAAGACTTATGAAAGACTTTAACGCACTGAGATTTTGTATGTGTCTATTAAGTCAGGTTGCCTTAAAACAAATCATACTGTCATACTTGTCTCCTAGAAGTTCTGCAGTCCCCTCTCAATGGGATTACTGTAATATACAGTAAGATCTGCATTACACATATAAAAGATAATAACTTACTTTGTCTTAAACCAGGGAAAGATGAAACTGAAATATTACATTTGTGTATATATATATTATAAGTTATAGATAAAAAAAGAGTAAGTGCAGACCAACAGGGAATATTTTCTGATTTACAAAAGTCTGGGAAATTGCTTTATAGAAATAATAACCAAGGTTATTTTACATTTGCAGGCCAGTAATCACCATATCAGTGTAATTATGTATATTGTATGAAGATAATATGTGTAATTTATTGCTGTATATTGCAGCAGACTAAAGGCAGGTTTTGTTTGATAGTTTTCCAACAAATAACAGCAATTTTCTGTTTTAGGTAAGGAATGTGATAATTAAGAATTGAATGATTACCTAGCCATTGTCCTAATTAGATATTATTCTTCTGCAGTCTAAATTAGAAAATTTGCTTGCACCCTGGTCTCAAACAAACTAATTTCAACAAATTACACAGTCTCATGATATAGCACATGCATCGTAACCTTGACAACAGCTTCAAGGTCAACCTATATAGCACATGCATCTTAACCTTGACAACAGCTTCAAGGTCAACCTATCAATTTTGTAGCTATCTGTTTAGGATTTTGTAATGGTTGGGAGACCCTTATTTGTGATTTGGGGAAGGTGGTGTCAATTCCACTGAAATGCTTTCTGTGAATGAAACCTTTGTAATTATCAGTCTTATTTAAAGGGAAGTTCAAGAAAAGTAATAGAAATAGTCTGAGCAGAGGCCATGGTTTTAAAACTTCACTAAATGAGAAATGGTAGCTCAAAGTCAGACATAGCTTTTGTTTTTGTTGTTGTAGGTCCTTAACACATAATCAGCTAATTGGATATCCTCCTGTGCTTGAAACCTGAGGTCTTCAGCCACCATTTACATTATGACATTTTCTGTGTTGGAGACACTTAAAACAAATCCAGCCGAGAAAAAATATAATGCACATTAATTATCATTTATGTGTTTGCTTCTCTATTGATAGAATTCTTTCATTTATTATACATGTACTGCCTCAAAAGATGAAATTTGTATTGCCTTGGAAATAGCAGATTTAAAGAGTTTTTAATGGTGATTAACATAAAAAATTCTATATTTGAATGTGATTTCCTTATTGATTGATTATTATAAGCTGTATATTATACAAAAGTTTAGTACAGCTTATGTGAGTATTGATTTCTATTGAATAATTTATATGATGAAAGTAACTCTCTAAATGCTTCAATTTTAATCATATATTCACTGACTTAGCAGATGTAAGTATTATCTGCTGATCACAGTTGAATATTTTAGTGGCTACTGGTTAAATGTTCTTTGCAAAAAAGGGTATCTTGATTTAACCTGACGGTGGCAACTGAATATACCCATGCAACTATTGCAGACCAAGATCTGCTGGCAACTTCTGTGCTGCCTGATCATGGTCTGCACTATTTGCTATTCAGACATTACATATTTTGAAATTTCCCTTAAAAATGCTGAATGGTTTTGTCCAGATTAAAAGGTAGCAGCTTCCATTTCAGATATTGAGGGGTGGTAGGGGTTAAAGAAAAGCACAATCCATACAGTCTAAGTGGTGGAAAGTTTGAAGACTTTTAGCATTTTGATGCCAAATCACTCACAATTGGACATCTCCAAATTTAAATCAAAACACTAACCATACAGAGTAAGGGCTATGACCGATTCTGAAATTCTCAATCGCATCATAAATGAAATTTATCACAACTGATCTGATTCTTAAAGCAAGAAATTAATTATAAATTTGTGTTAAAATATTCACAAGTGATCCATAAATACATTCTTCTATGAATGACAATTACTTGTATGTCCCACATTGCAAATAATACAATAAATGAAATATAAATGGTACCAGAGTAAAACCTTTTAAATAATAAATCTAGTGGTATGACTATGCATCATTAGAGGTTGTTCCAGTTAAAGTTTAAGTTCAATTATAATCCATATTTTATTGAAATATATAACTGCTTATAATGATGATGACTTGGTAATTTAATTAATTTATAGAGCTATGTCAGTCTGAATACACATCGTGGCAATCTGACCTGTACGATGTATGATCAAAAAGTTCTCATTTCCTGCATTACAATGTGCCAGCTCACACATACCAATTTGTGATGGCTGCTGCAACTGGTTGGGGCTCTGAAATTCTTCCCCATCCCCCATATTCTCTGGACGTGGCCCCCTCTGACTTCTACCTGTTTCCGAAACTGAAAACCAAGCTTCGTGGTAGACGTTTTGGAAGCAATGAAGGTGTTATGGAGGCGGTCAATGAGTTCTTCGAGGACCAAAATAGAGAGTTCTATTTTGAAGGGTTAAACAAGTTGGAGCACAGGTGGGCAAAGTGCATGGATGTATAGGGCAATAATTGTCCCCCGCCTTTTCGAAGAAAAAAGGGGGATATAGAAATAGGCTCCGTCCGTCTGTCCGTCCGTCCGTCTGTCCGTCCGTCTGTCCGTCTGTCCGTCCGTCACACTTTCGTGTCCGGTCCATAACTTTGTCATTCATGAAAGGAATTTGAAATAACTTGGCACAAATGTTTATTATAATAAGACGATGTGTCATGCGCAACAACCAGACCCCTACCTCCAGGGTCAAGGTCACACTTGCTCATTCAAGGTCAAAATTGCCTATTTGAGGGTATATGTCGTGTCCGGTCCATAACTTTCTTATCTATGAAGGGATTTTGTAAATACTTGCCATAATTGTTCACAATAATCAGACGATGTGTCATGCGCAAAAACCAGTCAC